ACGGTGAGATCATTACTTGAGCTCAAGTCGGATGCTTCCCTGACTAAGCCACCCAGGTGCCCCTCTATGATAGTTTCAGTACTTTTTCCTGAATCTACAGCTCACAGTACATCCCTCTTCCTGTTGACCAACTATTTTTTTCTTTAGGCCTTACATTTCTTTTTCTGTGGTCTTCCTTCACAGAGCTATTGCTTACTTTTTTTAGTTTATGGTAAAATATTTAATCACAATTTTCATTTGCCTCGTGGCCTTATTTTTCTACTAACAATTTTTGCTAATAAGGACTGCTACACATTCTTTCTCTTGTCTTCGATGCTGGGTGCGCTCCTTCTTTACTACTCATCACTGAGTTGGTCGGAATGTTTTGACCAGCTCCTGGGAGTACGCAGAGCAGGGAGAATGCTCGTGCAGTTTAGCTGCCACCAAGGTAGACCATCTCCTGAAAACGTGCCATCCACACAGTGGTCTGTGAGCTTCTTCCAGTTCTCTGAATTAAACTGAGTCCCGGAGGACAACCACCTGCCTTGCTCACCAGTTACTGTATCTAATGTGCAAACACTGGTTACAGCTTTTGTCTCCCTCACACTCAGGAGCTGTCTTTTTCACTGGTTTTCCTGAGAGCTACCCCCACTTCATGCTCTTCACTTCCTCCTGCTTGGCTTCTGCCCAAGCTGCCAACTGCTTTTTGTAAGCCTCAATATATATTTTGAAATCTAGAGATATGTATCTATTAGTTTGCCAAAAATAGATTTTGGGAGATATTCTTTCTTCTTTGTGTGTGTTTTTTCATTGTTTTGCATTTTTAATTGTTCTCCTTAGTTTTTTCCTTTCTTAAAATTTCCAAGGAAATAAATGAACAATGCTCCCATATATATATATATATATATATATATTTTATACAGAAATACCTAGGCTGATCTTAATATTCATAACCAATACTGGGAGGCTGAAGGTAAGTGTAAAAGAAAGAGACAGGCATAAGAAGAGAATAAGGGAGAACAAATTATAGAAAATTGCCTATAATTTTTAAAATGTAGCGAAATATACCAAGAGTGGATGATAATGATTTCTCTGGATCATAAAACCTGGTTTCACAGCTGACTTATATATTTTTCCCTCAGTGGCTCAAGAATTGACTTGGTTAGAGAAGTAAGATTGTTAGAATTATAGATAGGTGCCAAAATATGGCAGGAGAATCCCCAAACATAAATAAACAAATATAAACAAACAACTATACACACACACACATTTATTTATACCAGATACACAGAAAGACAAACAGATGTTACCTATTTATCAACTAATTACATATTAGAGAACTACGCAGGACATATGACCAGTGCAGTCACACAGGAATCCACTTTCAGAAAGGCTCTCACTTGGGATTTCAAGTTCTATGGCTGCTATCTCAAAATTCTTAATAATTTTATTATGGAATTTGTATTTTGTACATGAAGACCAATGAGACAGAGAAACACATGTTAGGGGCTCAGAGTCTCAGATCCCACATAGTCCCACCACTTCCCCCAACTAGTTCTAGGGAACTTACTTCTCTGTCCCCTGGCTCCCCAGCCTCCTACCCTTTCCTGCTTCTGCCCAGTGACTAGAGCCACCCCGGATGCAAGCATGAAAAGGGTGGGAAAATTGTATGCCTCGCGGTGTCTCAGTGTGGGACACGGGGGTAGCTGCTTGCACCCCAGGGTGGAAGGGCCCTGATGCATTTGGCAGGTGACTCAATGGGGTCGATCCTCTTGCTCACCCCAACCCATTTACCAAATGTGTCCTGCTCTAGGGACTGCAATACAGTTGGGCATCACCTGTCCACTGGGGATTGGGGCAGTAGGCCCATCAAAAGGGGAGAAACCGGTCTCAACTTCTCCACCCCTGGACAGAGAAGGGCAGGCATATCAGCCCAGTCTGGACACAGCTAGTGGGCTGTGTGTTCAGTAAGTCATAGTGTGGGGTCCCTAGGACGTGTAAGGCTCTATACTTGTCTCATGAATATCCCCGTGCCTGAGGAGGCATGACATTAAATAACAAATAAAAAACATGTTGACAGGTCAAGAAAAAGAACCTACGAAAGAAAAAAAAAAAAAAGCTTTGCATTTTTATGCCTTGAATAGTACTTCTGCCATACTTTTTGAATAAGAAGTTCTGCATTTTCATTCTTCATTGGCCCCACAAATTATGAAGTCAGTTCTATACACAGTAGATTTTAAAGGTTTGGAGGGTGCATCCCTACACTCTTGAAAGATGATAACCATGCCCTTCTCCAAAGGTGACCTGGATTCATGGTCAAGGCCAGATTGGTGAATGGTCACTCAAACACCTACAAACAATGTTTAAACTCTCCAAGTGTTGCTTCTTCTATTCTAGTCAACTGACCTGTTACTTTCTCAGATCATAAATAACACAGACAAGTATAAAGAATTCAAGGAAAAACTGTTCCAACTTTTGCTGCATTTATATTTAAAATATGAGGCTTCTACTCAAATCACGGAAAAATGTTCAAAAGAATCACCTTGGATAACTAAGAGAGTATGATTAAAATTAGCTGAAAGCAAATATTCTCTGGAGTGGTCAGTATGACTGCAAATCCTTTTATTACCTTTATGGAGGAAAGTTCTCCAGTAACCACGATCAACATAGGCAAGGGAATAAAATGTCCACTGCAGAATTTCTAAAGGGATACATAACATTTGAGTAGACTCATTTTATTATGCATTTAAAGTAGTTCACAAGACAAATACAAATATATTTTAATCTCATTTTTAAAAACCTGATAACTTCCTATACTTCTGCTTTTTCAGAGGGAAAGGAGTGTTTTGCTGCAGTAAACTGCTACGTTAAAAGAAAACACAAGTTTTTTCTTAATATTTTCTTCCTTTAAGTACCATAAGATATATGCCCCTTCAGGTTAGAATGTGACAATCTAAAATCAGCCCATAAAACTACCAGCAGAGCTTTTCCTAAAATCTCATATATTCTTCTCTTCTTCCTAGCAGAGGTATAAAAAGCACCTACTGCTTTCTTCTACTTCTCCAGGAAAAATATCACTTTTTAAAGGATAGAGGGGAAAGTCCTAGACAATCTTGGCAGAAATAAAGGCCAAAATATAAACAAAAATGTCTGAATATCTGAATTAATAGTTTTAAGACAAGAGACAAGTAATACAAATGGTTAGCAATACAAATACCAAAAAAGGAATAAAACTTGCTTACCACTATTAAATCACATTTTAGAAGTCTGAGTAATTTTCCCAGAAAAATGAAAAAGGGAAAATGAACCATTTAATAAACAAACACACAATACTCCTAGAACGTTACACTGCTCCTGTCCTTCTTTCTTGTCTATGCAAGAGTAAGATGAAGGGCGCTCTATGAGCAAGAAAAATACCTGGATGCTGTGATGTGCTTTGTTTTCTCATGGCCTTAATGGAGGGTTTCTGGCTTCTTTCTCCTCCCCTCTTTGTTCTAAAAGATATACAGCGGAGGGGCAATGATCTTCCCCCTCCCCTGCTCTTCCCTCCCTGCTCCTAGTTTGGCTTTAACTCTCACCACAGTGATAATTTCTCCTATTTTCTCCACAATGAATCTATAACATAATTTTCTAGACCTTTGTCCTTCATTCTTTCATTCTGTAACTCTTCTGTCTTTCAATTATTCCCTCTTTTGTTTATATCTACCTACGTCTCACAACTGCGGGAACACAAGGATCATGCTATAAGCAAATGGGCACTTCCTGCCATACATATAGGCAAACCCTCTTTTATTGTACTTCTTTTTGCCACACTTTGCAGATAATTGCATTTTTCACGCATTCAAGGTCTGTGGCAACCCTGCATCAAACAAGTCTATCGGTGCCATTCTTTTTAACAGCATTTGCTCACTTTGTGTTTCTATCTCACAGTGCAGTAATTCTTGTAATATTTCAAACTTTTTCATTAATATTATATTTGAATTGCTGCGATCTCATGATAAAATACTAATGGATAAGAAAGCTCCTTCTTATGAATGAACAAAGCAAATGGTCTCTGGAGATGGAATCTCCATCTGGTGAAGATGCTGTGAAGATTGTTGAAATGACAAGAGAAGATTCAGACTATTCCATAAACTTAGTTGATAAAGCAGTGGTGGGGCCTGAGAGGACTGGCTCCAATTCTGAAAGGAGTTCAACTGTGGGTAAAATGCTATCAAACAGCTCCCCATGCTACAGAGAAATTTTTCATGACAGGAAGAGTTGATCAATGCAGTAAGCTTCATTATTGTCTTATTTTAAGAAGTTGCCACAATCATCCTGAACTTCAGGAATCACCACCCTGATCAGTCAACAGCCATCAACAACGAGACTAGAATGTCCACCGACTAAAAGATTACAACTTTCCTCAAGACTCAGATGATGGTTGATATTTTTTAGCAATAAAGTATTTTCAAATTAAGGCATCATTGTTTTTTGGATATAGTGCGATTGCACACACTTCACAGACTATAGTATAGTGTAAATGTAACTGGAAAAACCAAAAACTTCACTTGACATGCCTTATTGTGGTATTCGCTTTATTTTATGGGTCTGGAACCAAACCCACAACATCTCCAAGGTACGCCTGTACATTAATTATATTCCTCAGCTTTACCTAGTCATCTCCACAAAATCCCATCCAACCATTGTATGTACTGCTTTATGTCGTGTGAGATTAAAAGAGACACAAAATTGGACTAACCACTATCTCATCTAGACTGTTCTTTACAGGCAAGCTTCTAAACTCAATGTGAGAATAAATAACCAGGTCTCAAATATGCCCACATTTATTCAGCTTTTACCTGTTTGGCCTAGTCACAATGCTTGGAGATTTTCCAAGAGCACACTTTCCAGCAGGAAGCTGGGCAATTAGTTCTCAAACCCAGGAGAGAGGGATTAAACTCAGGAGAGAAGGGATTAAATGATTTCAGAATGAGAATGGCAGTCATGATAACTCATACTGCCCCAAAAGACAATCATACCTTTGTAATTGCAGTGAAGACCTTTTCCAGAATGGCATTGGGCTGGGCAATCTGTGGTCCATTGGCCTGAATGTTGAGGGCGATGGCACATGGTCTGGCTACAAACCTTAAAAAAAAAAAAAAAAAAAAAAAGTCAGAAAAGTTATTCTTTCTATAATGGTTCTTAATGTCACCAATTATTTACACATTACTCAACTGTCCCAATAAAGTGCTGGGTGGACACTGCTAACATTCATATGTCAGTCAATGTAAAACAGATTTAACTTTTCTTCTCTCCTATAGGCATCCAGTAGTAACAGTAAAAAAGAAATTCTTTTAAAACATTTACATCTCCTGATCCTTTTTTTTAATGTTTTATTTATTTTTGAGAGAGAGAGAGAGACAGCATGAGCAGGGGAGGATCAGAGACAGAAGGAGAGACAGAACCCGAAGACAAGCCTCAGGCTCTGAGCTAGCTGTCAACACAGAGCCCAACGCGGGGCTCGAACCCACAAACCGTGAGATCATGACCTGAGCTGAAGTTGGGACACTTAACAGACTGAGCCACCCAGGCACCCTAAATCTCCTGATCCTTGAGTTCTAATGTGATTGAACAGGTAGAAAGACTATACAATGACAAAAATAAGTCCATAAGTGAGATATATCAACAAAATAAACCATTTTAAAATGATTCAACTTATACTTTTCTTACAAACATCTGATTAGCAATTGTCATGTTACACTTTGCTGTGACAAAATGTTTACTAATGATCTGATTACACATGGAGAATGTACCTTTGATCATACCTACATCATAAAATTGGCCATTTTTGTCTCTATAATCCAAATGCACTATATTCAGCCCCAGTTCTTTATATTTTTAAAAAATTTTTTAAGAATGTTTGTTTATTTTTGAGAGACAGAGTATGAGCAGGGGAGGAGCAGAGAGAGAGGGAGACACAGAATCCCAAGCAGCTCCAGGCTCTCAGCTGTCAGCATACAGTCGGAAGTGGGGCTCAAATTCATGAACCCTGAGATCATGACCTTAGCTGAAGTCAGACACTTCACCCACTCAGCCACCTGGGCACCCCAGCCCCAATTCTTTATGGTTTCTTAAAATTTTTGCTTTGTGGTTATTTGTATCTTTATTTTAAAGTTATTTTTTAATAACTTTAAGTTATTTTTTAATAACTTTAAGTTATTTTTAATAACTTTAAGTTATTTTTTAATAACTTTAATAAATGTTGAGATAGGGAGGAGGGCAGAAAAAGAAGGAAAGAGAGAATCCCAAACAGGCTCCATGCTGTCAGCACCGAGCCCAGTGTGGGACTCGATCCCACAAACCACAAGATCATGACCTGAGCCAAGATCAAGAGTTAGACACTTAACTGACTGGGCCACCCAGGTGCCCCTGTGGTTATTTGAGTATTTCTCATAAGGAGTGACGAAGGATGTGAGACAGCACAATGTCCCAGACAAGCTGAGAAGTCTGAAATGATTACAAGCATCTGCTGCACTGATTTTATCCTACGCAAATAACTATGTCAAGAATGAGAACACTTCATTTCTGCTTGTGCTTGATATGTAAAGGAGCCACTGAAGAAGCAGCAGAGGGCATGGGGCCCCAAAGGTATGCTGACACTTCTAGAGCTTTTTTTTAAAAGCATTTACAACTTTAAGAGATGTTTTAGACTAAAGGTTCAAGAAATAAGGTTTTGTGAATGTTCCTTTTCAGTAATGACATTGAACATTTTCTACTAATACAAAATAATAAAACATCAGATGAAAGTATTACCCAAATTAAAGTTGGTCAAAGGCAACAAGCAATAAATGTACAAAACAGATCATGATGCTTCTTTAGTAACAGTTGATGAGATTAAAGTATAGTAGACAAAGGAATACTTTTTAAGTTGGAAGAAAGAAGTTTACATACATACACTACATACTATCCCATGAGATTGTATTGCAAGTTAAAGAGAAGACACTTTTTTAAACAGGAAAATGGAATACTGTATATTCAAGCCTCACCCAGGAAAGATATACACAGAAAATGTAATATAATATCTGTTTTGCTGTTTCTCTCGTACAAAGCTGGGAAGAAGGAATTACTGCCTTTTCTAGTATATAAGTGTTCTAGAAACTGGAGTTTTCCCCAAGTTTGCATTCTCAACTCTATTTTTTTTAATGTTTATTAATTTTTTAGAGACAGATAGAGACAGCGTATGAGAGGGGGAGGGGCAGAGAGAGAAGGAGACACAGAATGCAAAGCAGGCTTCAGGCTCTGAACTGTCAGCACAAAGCCCGACGTGAAGCTTGAACTCACAAACCATGAGATCATGACCTGAGCCAAAGTCAGATGCTTAACAAACTAAGCCTCCCAGGAGCCCATGCATTCTCAATTCTTTTTAATGTAAAATGTTCTAAGACATATTACCCATGCCACTACCTTCTTAAAGAGAAATGTATGTAATCTTTTTCAAATAATTCTGCATCTTCACTATGAAAAATCTTGGAACTATAGCTACAGCTAGTATAAAGAAGTGGTTTGACAGATAATGACCAAACAAGTCAACAACTTGTTTGCCTGACAAAGTTTCCTGCTTCATGGTTTTTTGTTTTTGTTTTGCCTCTTCATCACAGGGAGTATGAAGAGATACTCCAGCAAGAGTTGGATAAAAAGGTAAAACAGCAAAATTAATTTGGCATAAGAGCCAAAATAAACTTGTCATTCGTTGCCTTCTATTGTTCTTCTCTGTTAGATTTCTCTCCAGCCCTCCTTCATCTTCCCTATCCCCATAATTTCTGAAACACTGTTCAAACATCCTTTCTGAATTGGCCATTATCCTTTGAACATCCTTCTGTTCTAGTACATGGTTTTCTTTCCATCTTCTAAAGTAATAGTGTAAATGCAGAGGATGATCTTCACCTCTGAATACACCATGAAAATGTTTAGGTGTAGGCAGGAGGAGGTCAACAAATGACCAACTGACTGTCTTCGGTAAATATGTATTCATTGTTGCTACCACAGTTTTGAGCGCTATTGACAAGTTAACAGACTTTCTCTGTGTGCCCAGTGAGTATGCGAGCAGTAGGAGTGTCAAGAAATTCAATTTCTTCAATTTATTCAAAAGCTACTTCCCCACCTTTGCTATCATGCTGCAATGACTTACTAAAGATTTCAAAAAGGTTTTTTAGTACCTAGGACACAATACAATGTCTTATATATTTCTCCTCTTTTTAAGCCTCAAACCACTCTTTAGAAACTCTTCTCAATTTCAAGAATGAATGCAATAGCATCTTGAAGACTGCATATCCCTTTATCACCAAACATACCAAATTTTAGTGATCAAAATTATCAAGTAAATATGATGCTCTATAAATAGGTTTTTAAAGCCAAGTCCAAAGGACAGGATTGAAATAATGTCTGCTATAATCTGGCTGTGGCACTCTAGCTGCAGTAATCTCTCTGTGCCTCATCTCTTCCTATGTAAGAAAATCAATAATAACTACATATGTGTGTGAGTTGTGTGTGCATATAGACACAAGTAGATGGTAAAACATGATGTCACATGGTCTCTTTGTCTAAAATTTTTGATGCATGCCATCTGTATGGTTTCATACCATATAGCATTTACATATCATGACTTCTCTGGGCCCAAAAACCCACTCTGTACTGTGCTAAGCCATGGGCACCCAGTAAGTTCTAATGGTACTAAGCAAACAAGGCCAGAAATCTAAACAGGCAACTGAAAAAGACAAGGGTCATCAGGTAGAGTAACCACTTGCCTCAGTCAAAGCCACCCACAGAGCACCGGTGTGGCTTTACCAATCCCTCATTAGGTGTTCTCTTTTCAACTTACCTAGCATACACAGCTAGACACTTCATTTCTAAGATTTAAAAAAACTTCAGGGGCACCTGGGTGGCTAAGTCAGCTAAACGTCCGACTTCAGCTCAGATCATCATCTCATGGCTCATGGGTTCAAGCCCCACGTTGGGCTCTGTGCTGACAGCTCAAGCCTGGAATCGGCTTCGGATTCTGTGTCTCCCTCTCTCTCTGTCCCTCTCCTATTTGTGCTCAGTCTTTCTCTTTCTCAAAAATAAACATTAAAATAATAAATAAATAAATAATAAATAAATAAACAAACTTAAAAGACAGGCAGAAACATGCAATCTCAAATGAGATAAGAAAGGAAGATATATTTTTATTTTCCTAATAGTATCCCTAATTATATGAAAATACAGAAATTTTATTTGTGTTTATTCTCCAAAGAATTTGTGAAACAGTGCTGGGCATTTTTTTTTCCCCAGAGAGTTTTAGAAACCACAAAAAACCTATGAGACAACTACTGTAATTTTGTTACCTACCATCATGGTTCATTAGAGAAAAGCTGGATTTTTTTTTTTTTTTCCAATGCTGGCTCTTACAGAAATAAATTCACAGAAGCTGTCTTTCACAGATTTGTAGACACAGAGAGACAGATGGGGGGAAGGGGGAGTCCCTACAAATACAATAGTTGAAAGAAAATATGTACTTTCAAACTTTGATGAGTACCTCTACCAGGAAATGCTCACCTAATTATTTTTTTATCAAAGGCAGCAACACTGCCTTCACAAGATCAAACATCTATAAAGTACTTTCATGTTGTAGAACATGTGTGCAAGGAAACATAATCAGGATGTGAGCTTTGAAAAATACTAGTCTAAATTTAAAACAGAAAATACCTAAGACATTTCTACTTTTTAATTCTATTTAACAAATCATATTTTGTATTTTAAACATGAACTGAATGAAAACCTCTGCACAGAGCACCTAGGTCAGCTCGGGGCTGTCGTGTAGATAAAGGTACACACAAAACATGAGGCAATTACTGCACTCAAAGTGTTTACAGTATGTTAAAGGAAATTAATTTAAAAAGCAAATAAATGCTTACAGGGTAAATGTTAACTCTAATCTCTTAATATCATGTAATCATCTTCAATGGGGAACATGGTCAGAGACTTTCAGTCTTTTCTAATTCTAGCACTTCCTGCTTTTCAAAGCAGTTGTAAGTCTGCAGTGGTGGATACATAAACCTACGCATGATAAGAAAGCACAGCATAAAATCACACACACACAAATACACACA